ATGATCTGGTGAACTGTAAAGTGCCTTGAGATGACATGTGTTGTGAATTGGCGCTATAGATATAAACTGAATTGAATTGAACTATGATAGGATTAACTAACATCTGATCAGAATAAAATGATTTACTTGAACTTAGTGAGAAATGTTGCTGCTTCAGTTGCTTTTCTGCTCCAACCAAAACAGCAGAAATGATTCTGATCAAATTTCACTCATTTATCATTTTTTTTGACAAAAAAATGGAAATCTGGACTGAAAGGCTCATTATTGCTGCCTCGACCTTCACACGTTGTTCCTCTGACTGCCAACAGCTTGACCACCTTTCTGAGTTTCTAAGCTGTTTTTATTAGGCAGTTTCAGGAACACAGAAGAATCAGTTTTTAACCACCACAAAGGGAGCAGATCTTTATATATTGATTAATTATTGAATAAAGTGGATTTCCTAGGTTTCATATCAACACCAGAAGCAATTTCTTACCAATAACAGCATACCAACACCTGGGTACCTCCACCAGTTTAACATCACCTTCAGAGTAACACCTTTGCACCAACACCAGATTTAGACCATCACTGTGTACCAACAGCATCAAGCCATCACCAGGATTCCAACACCGGCTCGCCAAAAACAGCATTCCAACAATAAACACCTGCGTTGGTTCTACTAACATCCAAACAAACGCCTTGGTTACAAAACCTTTGAGCTTAAACTATGCAGAGGTGTTTCTATGCTGCAAACCACACATTACCAACAGTTCCATACCAAGCCCTTTTAACTAACACCATTCCACTATTGTAGAAACTCTTATGCATGACTGTGTATATATATGGGTTAGAGTTATATATATATATATATATATATATAATAGAAGATTTTGCTTTACAATCTGCTGATCCTCATTTGAGCTGGTTGCCCTCCCTCTTGGCTGCTTTTTTTTTACCTTCACTTCCTGAAAAAACTCTCTCTGCACATTTGACTGGTGTGTGCCCAAACACTATACTAAAGTATGCCTTTGAATAAACTTATAAAGATATCTTGTCTTTTTGTTGAAACAGTGTCTTTATTAATTTAAAATTTTCATAACAGTACCAACACCTCTGTACCAAGGTACACAGGCATACCAAATTCCCTGCAGTGAAAGTGGTGAGACCGGTCATTGCTCTCTACTCTCTCTGTCTGCTCATCCATAGAACTGAGGTGTTGTTAAACAGCCGCACCACATGGAGAGAGAGAGTAGCGCTGACTGCTGGAGTTTTAAATTCAAAACATTTTTGTGATATTGTGGCACAGCAACAATCAGGGACTAGTTGTGACTATGACCATAGCACAGCTAAGACAACGTCTTTTTTAATTAGTCAGAATAGAATATGGAGAGAATCATGTTTCCAAAGGTTAAAATACCAAATGCTCTGAAGAGGTTATTATGTGGCTTTAAAAAAAGCAGTATACATTTAATGCTTGTCCTTCATTACCTACAGCAAAGACCCCGCCCAACCGCTGCCTCTCCCCAGCACTGGTGCTCTCTAGATAAAAGGAAGTACTGGAGAATCGGCTGTCATCAGATGCACCAAAGCTGTTTAACTTTTTCATTGCTTCTAGGCCTTTTCCTCCCCGGCCAATGAAAAGGTTGTTCATAGGAAACAAATTAGCAGACCTCCTTATTGTTACATTTCACAGTGAAATTTCCACCTGAAATGCTTTGGGGTTGCCAGGGTAACAGCAGGGAGGATGATGAAATATGGTGAAATATTCATCGCACCCACTAAGTAAGGTTAGACTGTCCACCTTTATATACAACATAGGGATATACTATATTATACTATGTAATAACTTCATATTCGGAAACAAGCGCAGCATCAACGTATGGATGGATGGTGACATCGGATGAAAATAAAAATCATTATATCTTAAAAACTAAAGCAGCATGAGGGTTTGACCTCATTATTGCAGGGGGAGCTGAAGCTGCAGATATAAACTACCCTGAATAATAGTATCACCACAGGTTCTGATTCTGAGGGATACTCGCTGCTCTAGACGCTTCTTTCTTTGCTAATGTTAAAAACATCTACAAAACACTGCAGAGTTTCAAATCTCTGGGTGGTCACATCAATAATAAACTGGACTGGACTCAAAGCAGCGACGCCCTGCATAAGACGGGCCAGAACCGCCTACATCCACCTCCTGAGGAGGCTGAGGTCCTTTGGAGTGAGCAGGTCCCTGTTTCAAACCTTCTCTGACTCTGTGGTGGCATCAGCCCTCCTCTACGCTGTTGTCTGCTGAGCCCCTGGCAGCGCAGAGCGAGACAGAAAGAGACTGAACAAACTGGTGAGAAAGGCCGTTTCTATACTAGGCTGCACTCTGGACTCAGTGGAGGAAGTGGCTGAGAGGAGGGTGCTGTCCAAGCTTCCATCCATCATGGATAACACCTTCAATCCTCTGCAGCAGACTGGAGAGGAGCTGAGCAGCTCCTTTAGTCAAAGCTTTTTACACCCTGTTTAGAAAAAGGGTAATGCATTACAATGCCACTGCCCTCTAACCTGGTTTAATAACACTGCAATAACTTAAGACTACTGATCTATTTACTAAACCAGAAACAGCACCTTACCTGCCACCACTTTACTGAACATAAGACACTGTATATATAAGTCACCTTAAAATTTCCTTTATATTCTACCCTCCACTGTATAAATCTGGATCCACTGTATTTCTCCATTGTGAGATCAATAAAGTTCTATTCTATTTAGCGATCTTTACTTTGGTTCTCTGTTGTCTTTTTTGCTGTTAGGTTTGGTTTTCTGTTCCTCTCATCCAGATGTGGAAGCAGATTTGTGTTGACCAGTTTAGTGAAGCGGATCCAGGCCAGGCATCCAGGCCAGGCAGGAACAGGCAGGTGACAGGAGCCAGGCAATAACAAGCTCCCAGACAGGTTCAGAGTCTGACAGAGTCCAGGAGCGTGACCAGACGGAAACGCACAGGAGCAGACAGGATCAGGTGCAGATGAGCAGGCTCAGGGATAGAGGGTAGCAGAGACAGGACATGAAACCAGAACTTGATGCAGGACCTTTAAACTGATCTCCAGCTTGAAGCCAGGCTTACTGGAATAAAATCTGATCCTCCCCGTGTAAAGAGCCAAAAACCCAGAGGACTCAGCAGGTGAGGAACAGTGGACGAGCAGGAGACGAGGCAGACACAAAAACCCTCTTTCCACTGGCCGCCAGGATCCAGGACATGAACCTTGAAATAAACAGAACTGAACAGAACGACTAACGGAAAACAAATAATGATCTGGCCCCGAATGCTCAGGCTGAACAGAATATAAACCAAAGGAAACAGGTGAGAGGAATAAATGATAATTGCGGCAGGGAGGGAAAACGGCAGGTGAAAGAAATGACCAATTAAGAGAGATCAAACAGGCCAGATTATGACAGGTGAAGCTGGTGGTTAAACCTGATGAATGTGCTGGTTCTGTTTCACCTGGTGAGGGTGCTGGTTACACCTGGTGAGGGTGCTGGTTACACCCGGTGAGGGTCCTGGTTCTGTTTTACTTGGTGAAGCTGCTGGTTATACCTGGTTTATGTGCTGGTTCTGGTAAACCTAGTTAAGCTGCTGGTTACACCTGATGAAGGTGCTGGTTCTGTTTCACCTGG